TCCCAGATGGGGAGGGTGCTGGCCTCCCCCCCCACGATCAGGCTCCGGCCATCGGGGAGCAGCTTGCAGGAGCGGATGTAGTTGTCGCGGTTCTGGGGTGCAGGAGGGAGGACCCCATTAACCCCTTCTCCTCCAGCCCTTCTGCACCCATCCCAGACTGAGCACCCAAAGGCTCATCCCGAGGGCTGGAGCGGCAGCAGCGGGGCAGACCCACAGCCGCCCTCCTTGGACAGCAATGCTGGGGCAGGGGCAGCTGTGCAGCCCCCCGTTCCACGCCCAGAGCGGTAGCCCTGGCCAGCCCCCCAGGAGCTCCTCTGTTTGACACTGCACTAGGAACGGCCTTGAGCACGCCCTCGCCCACCATGTCCCTGCCAGCAGCTGCCCCCCCGCCCCAGCCGGTGCCCGAGGAGATGAGGGACAGCCGTGGAGGCAGCTCCAACAAGGCTGCAACAACCCACGGCTCTGAGCACTAAAACACCATCTCCCACCCCTCCCAAATTTCTGATGCAGCTTGAAATTATCAGGACTCAGTCATTTCCTTGTTTCTGCATCTGCATCTTCAAGGTCAGCACTGTCCAGGAATAATATTTGTCAGGCTGCCCAGGCCTCAAGGCCAACTAGTTCAGGAGAGGACTTTAGTTTGGGCTGTTCAAAGCAGCCACAGGGACTCCGATTCCAGCAGCTCATTTAAAAAAAAAAACCTCAAAGAACACAGGTTAAAAAGACTCTCAGGTGATGGCTGTGCCTCCAGCTTGGCTCTGGTAGAGGTGCTGTGGTCAGACAGTCCATTTCATTTATATTTAAAAGAAATAGTTCTCCCTTCAGCCAGAGTCACACAAGCAAAAAGCAGAAACAGGGACAGAGCTGAATCCCAGTGATGCTTCAGCCAACGCGATTCTGGACCGTATGAAGCATCTGATTGACACTGGCAAAAGCTTGTCTTAGGGCAGGCACTCAGACGAAGCAGTGCCAAGGAGGGGGTGGGGTGGGGTGTAAAAGCCCCCGATGGCTTGGGACTCTCAGAACAGACCGGGCGGCGCAGGGGAGCACACGGGCAGCACGGAGCCACCATCCCTCCCCAGCAGTCCACCCCGCCCCAGTCGGGAACACGCATGGAGACACTTGGGGCACACCACTGCTTCCAGACCCTCCTCGCACCCCCAAGGTCCCCAACGGGGACCCCAGACCCCATCTTCACCACAGCACATGGCACAGTACAGGGAAACAGGGAAATAAGCCGTGCCAGAGCAGCAGCGCGCCCGTCCTTACCAAGCAGTCCAGCTGAGCCACGGCCGTCTTGGTGCCCGGCTGCCCCACATCCCACACCTTCACACAGCCCTTGCCCCCGGTGTAGACGTGTCGCGTCGAGTTGCTGATGGTGACGGCACAGACCACCTCGCCGTGGGTCAGGGTGTGGAGCTGCCGGGCGTGCCGGGGGATGCCAGAGCCGATGAGGGCGGCGGGTGGGAAG